CACTGAATAGATGAATTGTTTGATTGAGTTTTGTGCCTGAATGGACCGTGATGGGTTGTACCATTCAGTTAAGCTCAATAAGAGGTCTTTGCCCTCAGCCGTTTAGCTATTTAAATGTCTCCCCATTAGATAATTAACATACTCTGAAAACTTTAAACGACAATGAGGGTAGTAATCCTCTCATACTCACACTTCCGACTTCCGTCCCTCAAATCCTACAAGGTACACCGTTCTTATCATTGTCAATTATTCTTTAATATAACAATATGCTATAATTGTATCTATTAAATTAATTTAAATCCTTCAGCAACTTCTACTAGTGGCTATCTGTGGCATCAGGGACGGATCTAGAAATTTAAATTAGTGGGGGCAAATTATATATACTATTATAAATATTTATATAAAAAATAAATATATTAATGTAAAAGTAATAAAATCATTGTGTAAAAAATTTTAACTATCATAATTTGTTATTCTATATCTATAAAAAAAAAAAATCAAAGAGGCTTAAATATATGCAAAAAAGATATCTATAAGTCATTATATTTTGAAGTTATTGTATAATTTTTTTTCTTTTATTTTTGTTTTTAATATGTAACAGAAAAATCAATCAATATGTATATTTAGTTTTTCAAATACACAAATACTATTTCTTTTATGGGGGCATTATTTCTATTTTATTGGATAAGAAACAAATCTTTTAAATAATTTATAATACCATAAATAAATTGGTGGGGGCAGTTGCCCCCAATGGCATACATCTAGATTCGTGCCTTGTGGCATCCTTCCAAAACATGTAAGCGTAACTATAACCATATTGTGTTTATTCTTCAATGCTATATATAATAAAAAATTAGATGAATTAGAAGATGGGGCTGCAATAATCTTGTATCAATTGGAGATGTATCCTCCTTCATCCTTTTTTGACATTATGATTCACTTACTTGTTCATCTAGTCATAGAAATAAGATTTTGTGGTCCAATTTATTTAAGGTGGATGTATCCAATAGAGTAATACATGAAGATATTTAAAGTATATACGAAGAATCATCACCGATCAAAAGCCTTGATCGTTGAAAGGTACATCACAAAAGAAGCTGTTGGATTTTGTTCAAACTATTTGTCGAAAACGGAGTCTATAGGAATTCCAAAGTCTCGTCATAATGGTTGAATTGGAGGTAGAGGTACTCAAGGTTTAAATGTTAAGTCAATGGTTTGAGATGTAATTCTTGAAGCATATTTCTATACATTGAATAATCTTAGTGAAGTTGAATCTTACATAGCTATTCATTAAACAATTATAAAGAAAAAATATCCTCAAATGAATGACAAGTGGTTTTTAATAGAGCATGACAAGAAATTTATAAGTTGGTTTAATAAGAGAATTTCTTATGACGATAGTGCATCTGAGATAGTTAAATGGTTGTTGTACATACCAAATTTAATGTGATAACTTGGACTGCATACCACAATTCTAATTTTTCCTTTTATAGAAAATAAAAAGATGGTCGTAGTACAATTCAAAATAGTGGGTTATGGTTGAGGCTGAATCCATGTATTTCTCTAATTCGAAAGATAAAAATATTATTTTGACAACTAGCGTTTTCTATGGTGTCATTGAGAAGATTTTGGAGATTGATTATGTTATTTTCAAAATGCCTTTATTTAAATGCAAGTGGATTTCCAATAAAAGTGGTGTACAAACTGATGAGTTAGGATTCACACATGTTGACATTGGCAAGGAAACGTATATGACCGGATAATTCATTATGGCTAGTCAAGCAAAACAAGTTTTTTATGTGACAGACCCTTCAGACTTATCGAGTAGATGGTCAATTATTCTTCAAGAAAAATATATTCCTCATAGTGATGAAAATCTTAATATTTCTTCCACTCTTTCTTACGTAAGACAAGTGCCTACTTCATATGAAGAAGTTGATAGAGATGACGTGCATGTTATTCATAACGATCATCAAGAAGACATATGAAAAAATTAACAAGTATTTTATATTCTTCATTCATGATTTATTGTAAGTTATAATTTATAAGATTATTTGCTAACAAGTATTATTATTTGAAATTATAGGTGTTTAAAGTCAAGACACTAAGACATTAAGATACTATTATTTGATGTAATGATGTGTAAATTGTAGGTTGTTTTGTGTCATTTTGGTTTTGATGTAATATATAACTTTTGGTTCTTAAAAGAATTTTTTATTTGATGTAATACAATTTTTGGTCTAATTCAATTCAAAAATAGGCGTGTTGTTGTTTCTGATCTGATACGATTAAAAAAATTCAAGTTAAAAAATTGAAAATTTTGTAAAGTAAAAAAAATATTGAAAAAAATAAAAATTTCACAACGATTGTTTAATAAAAATGTTGTTATAAGCAGAGCGATATCCAAAATAACAAACGCCAAAAATGATGTTGTTGGGTATTAAACCCAAGACCTATAAATTATTTCACAACGGTTGTTTGAAACAACTGTTGTTATATGTAAGAGCAACTTTAACGCAGGGTTGTTAAAGCAAAATTCTTTATAGCTTACGTTAGTAATAAGAAATTTGCATTATAGGAGAGCTGACATGACATCCAAATGAACTAAAATTTAGTTCCCATTATCTATATAGTTAACGTTAACTATGTGAAACCTATTATAATATTATTTAATATTAATAAAATATTCCAAATATTCCAACAAGGATATGATATTTGAAAATAGTAACCGTCATATTATCATTTTTTACCTTCTATAAATTCTATAGAAATTTTAATTTTTTTTACACACAGTTTTACTTCTAAATTTTTTTCTTTCAATTTCCAATCTTATTTATTTATCAAATGGATCCCAACCAATCCAATCCTTATTATAATTATATTCCTATGAAAATGTAATTTTTTTTTATGTATTATTGTTGTGAATTTTGTATCATTTTTAATTTTATAATAAAATATATTTAATATTATTTTTAAGTTTTTAAGGTAAATTTTATTTAAAAAATTATATGTATTTTAATTAAAATAATTAAATTAATGGTAACTTGAATAAAAAAATATAAATTGTGGGGTCAAGTTTTGGTTTCTTATAGACAACCATCATTAAAGTAAAAACTAATCAAATCAACTATAAATTTTTTAAATCCTACAAATCACTTTGGGCCCACAAAAAGTATCTTAGTTTACCCATTTAGTTTACTCCCACTAAAAATGCTCTAACGTGTTATCCTCTTTATTACAACAGACAATAGTCCGTTGTTGTAAACTACACACTTACAATCACACCCAACCTCACAGCGGGTGGTCAATTATGATGATAACCCTTTATCAACCGTTGTAAAATGTGTTTTTCGTAATAGTGTCTCATGTTAAAAAAAAATTGCAGTCACAAGACAAGTGTTTAAAACATATAAATAACAATTGTTAACAAAAATACTTATCCATCCCATACATGCCCAACATGATTTCTATAGTATATCAATAAGGAGGTTTCAGAGGACCCTCCTGAAAAAGAGTCTGCAAGTGGAGGAACACTATCATTTGCAGCAGCGGAAGCTTCCTCCCGCTCTACATGATCACAGGAGACGTGCCCCTAGGATAAGGACCCTTATGACAGACGATTCTTAGAAGTCGATGCTTCCCCCTCATGAGGCCTAGGTACGATTCTCCGCCTAATTCTGACCTGCTCATTCTAAAGCATATCCTGAGTTTCACGGCCGTGTCTAAGTCTATCATCGTTGTTTGCAACCATTTTTCCTGAAATAGTATGAGAAAGAGACATCAGTTTGCATCTAATACAATTTTAGATATGCATCTCCAAAAACCAGTAAACCACCAATTCGGAGATTCATCTCCGAAAAAGCTCGTGTTTGCATCAATGGTAGAAATTGATATCAGTCTTGTCCTAACAACCCAAAATGCAATCAAATTATAGTGCATGTCTCTAAGAGCTATCTATAATGAATTTGATTACTACTTACTGCACTTATAATAAGCTATTTTATCTAATATATTAATTAAAAATTAAAATAAGTTAAATAAGAAACTTACTCAAAAAAGTGTTAGGATGAATAAGTGGAGTTAGTTGGGATTGAAATGAGTATAGGTAGTGTTTATCCTTGAAGAAGTTTAAAAAATGGACTGTAAGTATGTTGCTATGAGCTCCAATGTTGCTTGAAGTTGAGGATGAAAAGGCTTCAAAAAATGAGCTCCAATGTTGCTTGAAGTTGAGGATGAAAAAGTTTTAGAAAATGAGCTCCAATGTTGCTTGAAGTTGAGGATGAAAAAGTTTCAGAACATGAAGAAGAAGAGGGAGGATCTAGTGCGATATATATACATTAAACACGTTCGAAGCTGCATCTTCGAATATTTTATTGGATTTAAAATTAAGAGTTATTTCGGAGATGTATATGTGAACAAATCCTAAAACAAATACGAAGATGCATATCCGAATTAAATTTTAAAAATATGAGAAAACAGTGCGTTTGAAGATATATTTTCGAAAATTACAGACATTTTTTTATTTTTTTTCAAAAATTTTGAAAAATCTATAAGAATGAAAAAAGAAATTGTCTTAAAAAAATAGGCGGAATTAAGCCTTGCATATTTAATGGCAATTTGAACTCGGTGTAACTTTTGGACCCCAAATTGTCTTACTCCGTAGTTCATCCTAATCGACTACTTGAATTAAACACCTTATTTTTAATTTTAATGAAATGAGTTCAGTTTGCTTTATCAAAGCAAAAAAAAAAAAAAAAAAAAATTGATTAAATTTAAGTTAGATATACTATACAAATCATAATCAAGCTAGGCCGGTATGTTCTCAAATTAATATAGTGAACCAACAAAGATAAACACACAAAGACAAATACAAAAAATACTGCAAGGAACTGCTACAAGAGCAGTTTGTAATTCACAAAAGAATAACTCTTAGAATTCCAAAAATAATAAGAATAAAATGAAAATCACACGAACTAAGGCAAACTCTCCCATGATGAAATTTAAACTTTCATTTTGAAGTTACAGTTGCTAGCCTTGATGCTTATAAGATTATTAGATGACAAGCTATCAACCACCAACTGACATTGCCCCAACACTTTCACCTTCTTCAACTTCAACCTCCCAAGTTTGATAGCAACTGGTGCATGGATATTGAGATCCAATGGAATTCTTCCTGTCTGCTGTTGTTGCTGTAACGCCGACATTAAAGTGCTTCCAGACTGAACTTGGCCCGTTAACGACACATTAAGCACTGTTTTGTTCTGATGACCTTGGTAGAATTCAGGTAAAGACCCTTCACAAAGCTTTGTGTTTGTGTACAGCACACTCAACTTCCCTCCTTTTTCATAGTATATACCAATCTTCTTGTTCGGGTTTGTCGCTGTGATCTTTACTTCAAACTTTGCGTAGAGACTCAAGTCTAAGTTAAGCCTCAGATCAGTTATCCTCAAAGAGTCGACTGAGTAATTTGGAAGCTTCGGTTTGAAGATGAGGTAAAGGGCTCCTACAGATGCTGCTAAGATAATGAGAAGAAGGAATAACAAGGTTAGTGTACAACATATGCACCTGCAAAAGCAGCTTCTCTTTGGTTGTGAAGAGTTTATTGCACGCATAGCGTGTTGATGCAGCAGTGGAGAAGGCACCGGGATACCCTTTTCTGATCTAGACGAGCCCGGAGGTACTAAATGCATCCTAGGGTGTGGTCGTGCTTCCACATCCATAGGGTGGATTCTCTGTCTCTGATGATCTGACATGAATACTAGTAATTTGCTTAGTGGTGATGTTGTCTATGAGATTTTGCGGTCGTAGAGGGACACTAACACCCTTTTGCTCTATATACAGAAGACATTCTTTATTTGACTTCTAATTGTGAAAATACTGTACTCTGGTGTGTGGTTACCTTCCTTACCTAAAAATTGTGTAAATCACCAAAAAAAGATAGTGGTAGTTCAGCTAAATATGTACACTATGTTGACTTCAAACAATGGTTGGGTTCCTTAAAATACTTTCTTTTGTTGAGGCTATGACTTCTGTCCTAATATCAGTATATATGACATACAAGATTTCTTAGTTCTAACTAACCCATAACAGTAACATTAGATACACTTATCTTTACATCACTAGATTTCGCAACGTAATTTTTGGCACGCGGTGATGTCTGAGAAGGTGTCGTGCACACCAAGCATTATGTTTCAATAAAAAACAAACAAATGGCATGTGCTGGTAATTATTGACATAAGATGACCAGATATGCATATTGTACATTCTTAAAACCTGCTTCGCAGTTAAGGAAACTTTACTTGCACATTAAGGATGCGTGTCAAACATTGTACAAGAAGACACGGCAGTATATTGGTGAATTACTATTATTGTCCTTAGAAGATTATAATTTATAATCAATTAAACAAATTGTTACTTTGCTGTTGGCATTCTAAAGTACAAGTTTTATTCAATTTGAATCTCTTGCGGCGCAGCTTCGGTAGTTGACCCTTCTGCATTAGTTTCTTCTACACTGATATCAGAAGCTTCAACAGTCCTTGTAACCCATTCTTTGAGAGGCTCCTCGTTCAAATCAAGCCTTAAAATACCTGCAAACACGCCACCTAAGAATGCCACTGGTTCCTACAAATTAGAAAAATGGAATTTGAGAAAAACAAATACAGGTTTCAATGCCAATCAATGAACATTCCCATGGCCTAAACAGAGTGTTTTTCAGCCTATAGAATTGTGACAAAATTGAATATTGCTGCACATAGGAATCAGGGATAGTAAGTCAGCTTACCATCCAGATACTAGCAACTTGTTGACAAATACAGAAGAATTTAATTTGAAGATTACAAGTAGTGGTAACAGATTAAGTGATTAACTATAATATTATAATTTATCTATCGATGGAACACATGTTAGTGTCACCTCCGGAGTAGTGATTTCCGGATAGCTGCGCGGATCAGTCGATTCCAAAAGTGGGATGGCGGGATGGCGTATAGTCGGATGACCACTATTGGATCATTTTTTGGACAAATTACATGTAATAATTATAAACATATATTTAATGTAAAATTAAACAAATAACTCAACTCATAAAATATTCATAAATCAAAGCACACATGACTCTTGAAATGCATAAACAACTATGTTGCAAGATTAAGGTCGAGTCTCAAGTCAAATTTGATTGAAAAATCCAAAATTACCTTTAAAACATTGTAACTTAAACGGGTAATTTCAGTTTTTTAAAGGGGAAAAGGACAGCAGGATACTGCTTCAGGCCGGGAACCACTCTGCTCCGCTATCCTGCTATTTACCCTATAGCAGCTGCTATAAAGTTTTGCACCACTAAGGCTCTTCCCATAACAGTCGGCCTGTATCGACCACTATTGATTACTCCGGTCACCTCCATCCCACATGAATCTTTTGTATGCTTGACATATATTTCATTATCCAGGACACTCATGACAGAAATGGAAATCTCAAAGTTAATTATGCCCACCAAAACAAACATGACTTTTGCATCACAATTTTCAGTGGTTAAATGAATTGAAATCAGAAAATGAGACGGCAATATGATGCTATAAGATGGAAAATTAAATAAGACCAAATTAAATAACTTCATCTAAGGTAAAGATATTCTAAATAAACTTAATCACCACAGGCAAGACAAGTAGTAGTATGGAGAAATTAATCTTAACTGATAATTTAATAGTGTGCTGTTTAAGTAGAAACGTCAAAACTTGTGTTAAACATTTTCCTCACCGTACGAGAACTCGCTTGTTCATAAATAAATAGTTAGCATATTAACCAAGGTTTCAGTCCGTAACCGCGAAAACGGCTACGAGACAAAACGGTATTTGAAGGAGCCGATAACAAAACCATTATTCACCGTTTTTATTACAGAAAAAGAAATTGTGGTTAATTCACATGGCGAAATTAGAAAAAGCGACCACAACTCAACCTTTATTTAAAACGGTATTGACTATGGACAAAAATAAGCTTAGTCTGACTTAAATAAGCCTAAATTTTCACTCATTTGCATTAATTTGGAAATTTCAATTGATTTTCCAGCACCACATTTCACAAACTAAACTTTTTTCTATGATAAATTGATAACACATGACACAACTATCTAGAACAACAGCATCCTAATTTTTATAAGTACGAAATTAGACTAGAAACAAAATATCTGAAAACTGATAAAAGAATAAACTAGAAAAACACCTTGACAACTTCTTTGATGATAGGATCTTGTGCAGGATTGAAGAAAAACGCAGTAATTCGCCTCCGATTAGCAACTCGAAGGGAATTGCTGCCTCTGGTGATTTGGCCTTGTGAAAATGATGAAAACCTACACTCCTGCATCAATTTCTAGTATCAATCAATTGAATGAAGAGAAAGAAAAAGCATAAATAAGAAAGAAGGTTAAAGAGGAAAAAGTAAAATAATAGAAGTAAGAAAAACGAACACGAGTGCATGGACGTGGAAGAGGAGATGAAGTGAAGAGAAGAGACATTGCTCGATTCTGCCTCTGTTCGAATTTGCAGCTCACAGATTAATCCGATTCTTCCGGCGCTGTCTTTTCCACGATTGTTATCTCTTTTTCTTTTTCTTTTCAAAAAATACTGTTTTAATTTTAAAGGATTTTAAAATATAAAATTAGTCTCTTAAAAAATATCAATTAGAATAATATATGAGTTTGTAATTTATATGCGTGATTAGTGCGAAAAATTAGTTCAAATGATATATAAATTTGTAATTTATTGTGACGAAAATTTTTTTAAATAGATCAAAAAATTACAAAAGAAAATTTAAAAGACTAATTTGATATTTTAAAAGACCTTAAAAGACCTAGACAATAGTTTTACATTTGTTTTCTTTAATTTTTAGTTTGAAAATTATTTTTATGGATAGCATACTTAGAGTTTTATTTTAAATAAATTATCATTTTAGTCATAAAAACACATTTAGTATAAACTTTTTAAAACGTTTTTATTACACTTTATTAAAATATAATGGAGAATATTTTAATATATTTTTTATAAATTAAATTGTTTACACAAGAACACTAGTTGGTAATTCTATCGACGTTGGTATATAAAGACTGTAATGGGTAAGTTTCTATCTCAAAGTTAAGTTTATTATTTTGATCACATTAGTTGGGAATTTTAACTAATGAAAAAAACCCATCAAACAAAGGAAGTCTAGAAGAAATATGCTTCAACCATATTCTAATAATTAGAGAAAATTTGATTGTTAAATGGAGAACCTCAACACTAGATCATTTCGACCATGCAGATTTTATGTCGATGGCAAGGCTGGTCGAGAAAGCAGTTATTTGGGCGTTTCATGGCATGTTCAAATATTTGATAACTGCTTTAATTCTTTTTTCTAAGAAGACACGTGGAGAGAGTTTGAAGATAAATAACATGCAGAATTACACATGGCGAGCTCAAGAAAGAGGAATGTTAAGGGTAGTTATTTTGCACTTGTATATATAGTAGCTCATTAGGTTGAATTAGGGGTAGTTCGTTGTATTACAAAAAATTTCACTGAAAAACTTAAAGTATCAATGTTAAGAGAAATAAGCAAAATGGCTGAGAGGATGTAAGAGCATATGAAACACCATACTTTACTTTCAATACAATTTTTTTTTTGCTTTACTCAATTTACATTTCGTTTTAATTCTTTCACCTTCATTTCCTTTCAAGTCTTTATTTTCTTTTGAAGCTTCCAGTATTGTTATCTTACTTTTACATTTCTTGCAATAGTCGAAGTTCTCAATGTAGCATTTTTTCAGTATTCTCCTTCGACCAAGTCAAAATCCATTATCCTAAAATACACAAAGAAATCAATAATAGAGAAGTTATTAGGCACTATGTCCTATGATTCACTGGTTGATCCTGCAAAAAAACTCATATTTTGGAGACCAACGATGGTTTACCATTTTTAAGGGTAAACAAATTGGCACTTCCGGTGGGACATGTGCTAAGTTTCTTATTTGGTTATAGATTTCTTCATTTCATTGACATTTGAAAATAATAGTATATTCTTAAGAGTTTCTTCTGCGCATTTTGTATGCAATTAAGGAGTGGTAAGGCTTTGTCTAGTATGTCTCATCCTTATGCAGATAACATTAATCCCCGAAATAACCCTCAAGATGTAGTGTAACAGTCGATTGTATCGGTATTTGAAGAGCCAATTCTTTCGACGCCAGTTAGAACAACGACTTCAACGGTATCAGTGACACTAGTCCCAATGATGCCACCCTAGGGGACTACACCCCATCCACGGTCAGGAAATACCCTTACTAATCTTGCGCTTGCAAGACCTTTGTTTGGATTCTCAATGCCACCACCTGGCAAAATACCCGTATGGTATGCCAACTTTTTTAATGGCTAACTTATAACCCAACATGTCGACCTTTAGTGACAATGTGATGGCCACAACGCCATTATATAATGCCTCGGCATCAACCATCAATAATATGGAACGACCAGGAGGGATAAGTTACATCCCTTAAAATACGCCATCTTTGAATACGACTTCTATGATGGCTATGAGGCAGCAGATGGATGAGAGCAATCTGGAATTAGTGAATACTCTCACCCAACAAATGAGAACTATTTTTAACCCATTGATTGCCAACACAAACCAAACTAATGAAGTATTAGCAAATCAAATGGGGCACATAGCTGATCTCTTTGGCACACCCCAAATTCTAGTTCGACCGACTCCACAAATATCTAATGTTAGGACGGTCGAA